TCGATAAAAGTTCGATATAAACTTGAAATTTAAAAAAAAATACATGACTCGAACTTGAGCCTTGAGCCAATCCAAAATCGGCTCACATGGCTCAATTGCCAACCTTACCCACACTAGCCATAAGGTATGATATGAATATGATAGCAATAACTTTTTTTCTTCAAATTACATGTTCATAATTTTTTTGGAGTAATTGTTTTACAACTTTTTAATACCTAAAACTTAATATATTTTTTTTCATTTAATAATATGATATTTTGACTTTATCTACCTAAATTTTGGAAGCAATGTGTGACAATTATATGTTTGAAGTTTCAATCGTTGTCCAAATTTTGTCCACATGATAGGAGTGACACTTCATCAAATGGATTTTGAGATTGCTGCATATGGTCACAGATAATCTATGTAGTACGGAAACTTCGACTAATGTTTTCATATTTCGGACACGTTTTATGTCAGCCAATTGAGTACACGTGTCGAACATTTTATGGGCTATTTTGTAATTTCTAAAAACAATAGAAACATGTTTGAGTGACAAATTTTCAAATATTTTGTTGCTTCCCTATATATTTTTTTTAAATTATGAATAATATTATATAAATAAATGAAATATTGAAGAATAGTTCATGTAATTTATGAAAATAAATTACAGTTGGCTGGCGTGCACAATCTTTTGCTTTATGCCAATGGAACCCCAACTTTCTGCATTTGGAAAGCAAGCTGTTCCACTGCATTTTGTGAGTACCTATATATATATATATATATATATGGAGCGAACTGCAATCAATTAGTCAAAAGAAGATGAATAGAATTGTGACATTAATGGTAGCAATAATTAAATCAAATTTCCCTCATGAAAATTTCGTCATTCAATTGACCATAAAGTTTTAAATTTTGAATGCCAAAATTAGGTTCTCAATTAATTGGGAAAAATAATAGCAAATAAGAAATAAAAGGGGAGCAATAAGATATATAATGATCTTATACGGCTTTTGAGATCCTACACCGGGTGAAATACACCGGGTAGATCTTTACCATTAATATACACACAAACACACCCACACCCACATTGGTGTGTGTAGATCAACGGTGAAAAATCACCCGGTGTAACCTTCACCGGGTGTAGGATAGATAAAACCATCTTATACATACTACATTCGATAAAATACAACAATCAATCAGTCAATCACGTACAAATTGTCCCGACCTAGCGGTTGGAACAAGTGAGCATACGTTAATTAACTTAGGTTCGAATCGTTTTGTTAACGGTCGATAGGTCGAGTTTGTCGTACATGAGTTAGCCTAGTGTGATGTACGTCTCTCGTATAGTCTACAATCTATTATACGAGGGTGTGTAGGTTCCGATGAAAGTAATTAGATGTAATATCAAATAGATCAAAGATAATTAAGTATATATGGACATATAATCATTTGATAAAAGACTAAGACAATTAGGTTTTTTTCAAATGAGGGCCCACAAAGATGGGATAGGCATATAATAAAAATTTGTATAAATGGTGATTCACTTTCTTGATAAAAATCATGTTGTCTCTATACTTCCTTTCTCATGCTTATAAGTAATAGTGCATCAAGGTTCCACCTTCACTTTTTCAAACCTAAAAGTTGTACCTAACTCTCTCTATATATACATACCTCAATAAGTTTATATGAATTAAAATTAATCCCAATTTAAACAATTGGGGTCAAATGTGTAAATATCCTATAAATTTGGGGTTAAAGAGTAATTTTCTCATGACAAGGATGTGCCCATATAATTTTTCTCGAACATTCACGTGAGCTGCACATGTTTTTTTTTCTTTCTATTTACATAATTTACAGTAATAGAAGAGCTAAAAATGGCAACCAAAACAAATTTGTAGTACTAAATTGGTTACTTTATTATGAATTATGGAGTAAAGAGTATAAAATGATTAATTAATAATTATTCCACCTTGAAACTTTAATTAGACATTTTTTAGGATATAATAATTAAAGTTAAGCTCAAGCTGGTGACAACTTTTTCTAGACCTAAATATATTATTGATTTTTATTCTCACTAATACATACTAAAACCTCAACCACCAATTCTTCGTTAATTATGTTGTTTCAATGATTCATATATATATATATATATATATATATATATATATATATGATGACTCAAATTACATAATAATGACGTCAATATTATTTCTTAAGGTAATTTCAATTAATTACTCCAATATTATAAGGGGTCTTTACAAATAAGTCTATGGGTACTTATTCATAAAGAGATCCAGACAAAAAAATCATTTACCAATAAGTCCACACATGGTCCAGATTTTTGTAAAGGACTAAAATAACCCCTCATACTTTAATATGCTCCAATTTCATCATTAACTTTATTTAACCTCAATTTGACCCCAAATTTCACAAATTATTCAATTTTGACCCAAAACCTTTTCTTATCAATTTTTTTTTTCAAAAACTTTTTTTTTCCTGCCGGATTCCGGCGTTGACTTTTTTTTTCTTCTTTTCTTTCTTTCTGTAACTTTTTTTTTTCGTTTAAACAACAATATTGCTGTGATTGACAGTAATATTAATTATATTACTGTTAAACATAGTAAAATTAAATTAATTATATTACTGTTAAACACAATAAAATTAACTAAACTACAGTTTAACACAGTAATATTGTTATATTAATCTCTAGCACAGTAATATTAACACAACAAAACTCATTATTATTGTGTAATAGAGTAATATTACTATGTTGACCGTTCAACAAATATAAACATAATAAAAAACCAAAAGAATTAATATTACTGTGAGTGACAATAATATTACTATAACAACAGTAATATTACCGTCAATCACAGTAATATTACAATAATAGACAATAATATTATTACGTTACTCCGTGAATAACTCAAACAAACAAAAAATCCAAACAAAATAATAATATTGATGTGGTTGACAACAATATTACTATAACAACAGTAATATTACCGTCAACCACAGTAATATTATTGTGTTTACAGTAGTATTACAATAATAGACAGTAATATTATTACGTTACTCCGTGAATAACTCAAACAAAACAAAAAACCCAAAAAAATAATAATATTGATGTTGTTGACAGTAATATTAATGTGTTTACAGTTATTTTACTGTCAACGACAGTACTATAATTACTTTGACTTGTCAATAAATTAACGCCGGAGACCGCCAGAAACCGGCGAAAAAATCCGGAAGAAAAGAAAAGAAAAAAGCAAAAAAAAAAAAAAAAAAAAAATCCAAAGCCGGAAACCGGCGAAAAAATCTGAAAGAAAAAAAAAACAAATTTTTTTTTTGAAAAGTCAACGCCGGAATCCGGAGGCAAAAAAATATATTGAAATTTTTTTTTTTGAAAAAAAAAAGTTTTGGGTCAAAATTGAATAATTTGTGAAATTTGGGGTCAAATTGAGATTAAATTAAGTTAATGATGAAATTGGAGCATATTAAAGTATGCTCCAAAAAAAAGTCAAAATTGTAATTTTGTGGTCAAAATTGGATTTTTGTGGACAAAATTGATTAAATTGGAGTTACAATTAAGAATTTGGTATAAATGGTTGAGGGTAATATTGGCATATACATGAATATTTCATATATTTATAATAAATATTAAAGAGATGAGCTTATTGGTGAAAAAGATATAGTCCATAAACCTAAAATAATAAACATGCTTGGTTGGAGACTTATTCACGAACACCCCATATTATAAAACCATGTCCACGTCACTTAATTATCTCCCATCATGCACCTACTACTACGTACCCTAGATGGTATATCTTTTTATTAATCTTTGTAAATAATTAAGAGGCAGCCACAATACACACACACACACACTCAATTGCAATAATATACATTTGAGACCAATCATACTATAATTTGTATTATAAATGTACACACACAACATATTGCATGTGAATGAGTTTTTTTTTTTTTTATAGTCATGTGAGTGAGTATGCAACAATTATTAATATTGTACTACATTTATTTAAATAAATTTGTATTTTGGATATATTAATATTGAATAATGCATTTCACTAATAACTTAATCTTTTGGTTGAGATGGTCATTTAAAATGGTATCAAAGCAAAATGAATGGTTCTGAGTTTAAATTTCACAACAACCATTTCAAATATTTCGAGTGTAAATATTAATACTAGATAATACATTTCATTAATAGCTTTTGAGCCACAATGTTTCGAGACCGAAAAAATGTACTTATTGAGGTGAAAACAACCAAATAGCAATAACCCTAAAGCTATTTATTTGAATGGGGAAACAAAATCATTAAAGCAAAGGAAATCTATATTGCTCTACAAGCAACTATAAGGTTTCTCTTTTCTTAGCAATTTGGTCAAAGTCATGGTGTACTAACATCATTTGAACATCAACTATTACTACATGAAATTTCACATTGTATGTTATTCAATTCTTGGGTGGCCACCCTTATAATTATTACAATATTCGCTTACTTTGGCAAATTACGTTCACAACCCCTGAGATAAGGTCAAATAACGAAAAAAACTCATTATGTTTGGGTAATTACAGCTGGCCACCCCTCAACTATGCATTGCTTCACGAAAAAACCCCTTGATTCAATAAGTAAATTTGACACCGTAACAGCTGACGTGTAAAACAATACATAGTCGAGAAGATGATTGTAATTGTAGAAACATAAAGACTTTTTAATTCGACATTACCTCAGGAGGGTGACCGTAATTTTCGCTCGTTACTCTTAGTTGTTGACCTTAGCATAGAACTAGCAAGTAAAAAATTTACTTACTTTTTTCAATGGGCTTTTACTCTTGACATTATTCAATGGGCCTTGCCTCTCAAAATTGAATCCACTAAAGAAAACATATGTAAATGTCATTTATGCCCATCTAAATCAGCAAAAAGAATATGCCCAACACGAGGGTCAATTTAGTCATTTCACAAACCTGAAATTTGGAAAAAATGCTTCGCCACTTCTTAAACCCCTTTCCTAATCCCCCAAAACCCTAGAGACTCTACTTTCGCTTCAATTTATTTTCTCTTTCTTCCAGCAAACGAAAATGGCTAAGCGTTTGATCCCTCTTCTCAACCGCGTTTTGGTTCAGAAAATCACTCCGCCGTCTAAAACCACCGCCGGAATCCTCCTCCCTGAAAAAACCAACAAGGTAAATTTAGATTTTTTTTTTATAAATTATTTCCGACTGAATCGAATTGATCCCGGTTATGGATTTGGTTTCAGAATTGAGTGATACAAATGAAATGTTAGTCTAATCGATAGAGCTAAAAGATCTAGAATTTGCATTTTGTTTTGTTTCTGAATTTGCAGCCTAATGAAATTGTCTTTGTTGAATTCTTCTGGCTGTTTTATTTCTTAGTTCTACTGATTATTCTAATGAAATAAAATCAGCGGATCTCGCAGAACTGTTGTTTGTTTTTTAATAGATTTACAGGTTGTCTGCGACTTTGGTGTAAAAAGTGAAATTAGATGAAATATAATGAAAATAGATGAATTATAATGAAATTAGATGAAATAAAACCTTCATTTTCATGAAATTGGGGGTTTTAGTTCTTTGGATATCGAACTTTGAGTCGGAATTTTCTTCGTAGAGCTTAGAATTTATTTTTCTTTTTCTTGATTTGCTCGGTTCTTTAGTTTGATTTGTCGATTTTTTTTTTTTTTTTTTTTTCTGGAGCTGAATTTGATTGGTGAACAATGATTTCAGTTGAACTCGGGAAAGGTTGTTGCGGTGGGTCCCGGATCCCATGATCGAGAAGGCAAGCTCGTTCCGGTGAGTGTTAAGGAAGGAGATACCGTTTTGCTGCCTGAATACGGAGGAACTGAAGTGAAGCTCGGTGAAAAAGAGTACGTCTTGTTTCTTACTTTTGCTCTCTTATTTTTTTATTTATTTATTATCATTTTTTATTTTGTCGTGTGTTTTTAATTCTTGAAATAACCTGTTTAGCATTGTTAACTGTCTTATATGTGCCTAAAATGCCACCCTCATGCTCTACCTAATGTAGTATATGAAAAAAGATTTAGGCTGTTTGGTTCATGTATTTTGAAATTAAGGAAAATCTAAAATGCAAAAGCAAATGAAAACAAATAATTTGAAATCCTCTAGAATGCTTGTTTCGTTCATAAGGAAAAAATAGTGATGAAATTGATCCAAACATAGCCTTATACTCTTACTGGTTACCATAATTATCTTCAATTTCGATATACATGAACATAACTATCTTTAATTTGATCATTTCTATGTCTAGCGAAATAATAAAATGGTCATTTTTGCCTTTCAAATATCATTCTCAATGAAGAATGGTAAGGCCTTTCAAATAAAAATGTAAATGCTACCGTTATTTTAAGTTATATTTTGAATTAACTATTTTGTTTTACGACACCTTTTTGATGCTAATATGAAAATGCTTTCGTTATTTGATTTTCAGGTACCATCTTTACCGGGATGAGGACATTCTTGGAACGTTGCACGAGTAACTTAGTCTTACTATTCCATGCAAAAAAAAAAGATGAAGACATTGTCGAGAATCTTGACCGTTAATGTTTATCAATTAAATGTTTCGACTATGCTTTAGCCTGTCATTTCGAGATTCGAACTCGTTTGCTAGAATCGTATTCAGAAGTATGATTGTTCTTCTCAAATATTTTGTCCATGCCTTTTTCTATCTAATCGTCTGAAATTGTTATCGGGTTGATTAATCTTTATTAATTTGCTAATTATTATTTTTTTTTTGGTGAAGAAGAGCTTGTGTTAACTCAATAACTCATTAAATTGCAAATTATTGTGTGCATATAAGCACAATTCAATTGCGAAGAACATAATTTATCGTGTAATCACGGATTAAAAAAGCCTAATGAGGGAATCTTTTTGCTTTGTGATGCCATTGGCTCGTGGTAGAGGCTTCCCTTCAACAAACGAACTGAATAAAACGAGCGATCTCTCTGGTTGAGAAAACGGGGCTTCGTGTGAAGCCCCTCTTATAGTTGCGAACGATAGATATTCGTTATAAACTTGTGTCCATCCGGCAACCTGCAAAAAATTCAATTGAATTAGTTTTTATTTTATTTATTTTTTCGTAAAAATTTCAGACATTATTATTAAAATTGTGACCTGTTTTCCTTCAAACCAAGCATGGTAGCCCACTGTTGTGTTCAATCCTACGTCTTTCGCTAAACCGTTGACCAGTGTTCGAGTTCCGGTAAGTGGCAGAACTGAATCTTGATCACCACTGTACAATATTTCTTTGCATTAACACATAAGTTGTACGAAATTGAAGAAATTTATCGATTTTTATTTATTTATTTGAGGTAAATAATTGTGAGAATTCACCTGTAAACTAATACCCGAATGCCGGATTTAACGAGTGAACCAAGAATGCCGATGGTCGGTATCTCTAGATTTTGCATGTCGTAACGTAGAATCCTGTAAATGAAGCAAAACGCATGTCCGATTAGATATTTTATCTTGTCGGGTTTTACCTTAACATTAACGACGGATTAATAAAGTAATAAAAATAAGATAAAAAGCCATAAAAAGGTAATTTTCTGCAAATCGAAGGACGAAAACTTACTCGCTGCAAATGCTCCAACTCTTAACTCCGATAAGACGAGCGTGTAGCGCCTTCCTCACATCTTCTCTATTCAAATACACAATCGTTTCGTCCTCAACGCATACATTTATTTTCCGTTCCTCTTGCTACCATTGTGTAAAAAGACCAAAATGGACATCGACATTACAAAAACCAACCAAAAATAGTATTAAAGAAAACCCCGTAAAAAAATCGGAAATTTTGAGCACTCACCAATTGATTTAAAACCTCAGATTGAAGTTCAACGGAAGACAAACAAACATCGAGAGTGACGTCATAGCTATCCACGAATCTACTCATCTCCGACGAAACTTGCCTTATCACACCTGAGCAAACCGGTGTCAGAAATCCGGTGGCGGCTTGTCTTCTTATTTGAGAGTAATTGCAAGCGAAAGTGAATTGATTATACGTGGAATCGGATATTAGTCCGTGAGACCATAAAAACTCGGCCCTCGAGTTGAAATCCGTGTTGAATTCCAGAAGTGGATTTCCAATCTAATAATACATAAAAATAAAAAATATATATTTAATAATAAATAAAAAAAAATAGGAACAAGATTATTACATTTGAATTTGAGGGGTTTTTTTTTTTAACTTACTGCAATGCCTTTGAGATTGAGCTTTGATTTGGATTTGATTATAAGGTTAGCTAGTTGTGGAACATAATGCCCTGTTAAAAAATTAAAAAGAAGCAAGAATTAATTAATTTTCAGTAATTAAATATATAATAAATTCATTACAGAGATGAAACAATTTACATACATACCACCATAACTTTCTCCTGTGATGTAAAACTCTCTGCCTTTGAATTGTGGGAATTTTTTCAACCAGTTCTCGAGGAAAATAAGGTTGTCTCTAGCTAAAGAAAATGAAACAACACACAAACATTTTTATGTTATTCTTTTATATATATATAAATGTTATGTCACATAGTTATAGGTAAATTACAGCCATCCCCCTAAGGAAAGGTTAAATTACGAAAAAATCCTTCATGGTTGGGTATTTACAACCACCCCTCAACTCTGAATCTTCTTACACGTTCATCCTTATGGTGTCAAATTCAACAGAATCTTCAAGATTCTGTGGGAATCTTCTCTAGTTTGTACTCGTTTTGTGCAGTTTCTGATACACCATAATCTAAAGTCAAAAGTACATCTCATGATCATCTCGTTTCAAAATGTGGAGCTTGAACGGGAATAATCGGGTACAAACTGGAAAATATTCCACATAATGTAGAAAATCCACTAATTTTGACACCATATAGATGGGCATGTAAGAAGATTCATTTATCAGGGATGGTTGTAATTATTCAAAAATAAAAGTTTTTTCGTAATTTAACCTTAACTCTGGGGTTGGCCGTAATTTACGCTATAATTGTTATCTTATTACTAACCTGTGATGACGTCATCGACAGATTGGTAGAAAGATTTATTAGCAGAGTAGGAGAAACCAACTCCGGCAGGTGATTCCAAGTACAACATGTTCGCCACTGTAATAATAATAATAATAATAATAATAATTTAAATCAAAATTAATCACGCTAATTACATTTTAAGACACTAATCAAAGATTAGGGGTAATTAAATAACCTTTATTCCAACTGTAGTTATTTTTAACCAACACATTCCCACTGGGTTGAAACGGTCCATGCTCGCCGAACGCCCCAGCTCCAATTGATGAACAACCAGGCCCTTCAAATTAAATACAATTAAATTAATTATAAAAAAGAAAAAACGCAGAACACACACTAGATTGGCTTGAAAATACCGTACCTCCATTCAACCAGAGAACAAGAGGCTTGGAAGCAGGGTCGGTTTCTGCTTCGACAAAGTAGTAAAAATACGATCTTTGCTGGTGTTCGTCAATGGCGATGTAGCCTGAGTATTGATTGAAATCGGCATTTGGCTGACCTGGCAAACTCGATATTTTGTCGGATTCGAAGTGGGGTTTCGCTGCGGATATTGTTATTACAATTGCACAGGTTATTACACAGATTGACGACGACCACAGCTTAGCTGCCATGGCGGAACTGTCTGTTTTCTGTGTGTGTGTTTTTGTGTGTGTTATAGAAATTAAAGGAGATAAGTCACTGTCTACTATATCTTTTAATCTTACTTTAATTTTCACCAACTAAATAAATTTATTGTTTAACAATTACAAGATTTAAATTATGAAAGGGTAAATTACGAAAATGTCCCTAAACTTAGGTTAAATAATAAAAAACACCCCACCTATCTGTAATAACCAAAATCCTCTCTGATTAACTGTTGATTGAGTTTTTTTAACAGAAAACGTGTGCAGTGTATTATACCTTCTGTTAAATATGTGAAAAATAAAAGAAAATATCTGAAATTGTGTAATGTCACACTGTAAGGGGTTAGTGTAAGACGGAAACGAATTTCAGGGGGTTTTTGGTAATTACGAATAGGTGGGGCTGTTTTTTGTTATTTTGCCTAAGTTCATGGGGGGGTTTGGTAATTTACCCAATCATGAATTGCTTTTTTGTCTGATTAATGGGTTTTTTTAAACTAAATGAATAAATAAATAAAAATGTGGGGTTAAATATGGTAATGGGATTTTGTATTTGAGTACAAGTGAGTGAAGTAGTGGGCACAAGGCTGTGAAGTTGCTTTGAACTTTCTTGGCACGTGCCGACGTGCGTGCGTGCTGGATTCGAATTTTGAAAATTTTAGTGGCTATGGAAATTATTGAAAATGATGAGAGGGATTATTAATTAATAATTAATAAATTCATGACGAAAGAGACATATTTGTGGTCACATGCATGATGTGCAAGATGGTGATATAAGTTAATTTCATTTAGGGTAAATTACAAACATCCCTGAGCTATGATCAAATTACGAAAACTCCCCTTTTGTTTGGGTAATTACAACCATCCATGCATTATAAATCTTCTTACACGTCCACCCTTGCGGTTTCAAATTTAGTGAAATCTTCTACATTATATAAAATATTCTCAATTTTGGACCCATTGTATCTCATTCGAGCTTCACATTTTGAAGCTAGATAATCATAAGATGTGTTTTTTGACTTGTATATATCAAATTGTGGTGCATCACAAATTGTATTTTTGAACAAAACAAGTTCAAACTAAAGAATATTCCATATAATCTAGATGATTATGTTGAATTTGACACCATAAAGGTGGAGATGTAAGAAGATTAATAGTTGAGGGGTGGATGTACTTATCCAAATAGGAGGGGGTTTTCGTAATTTAACCATACATCATATGTGGTTGTAGTTTACTCTTTCATAAATAATAAACCAATTCTTCCTTGTCAGCAATGATGTCAGCAGTTCTGTATAATGTTTCCCCTTTTTTTCTAATCCAAATTTCCAATATTTGAATATATATTACACTACATGTGTAAATCAATGATTGGATAGAACTTAATACAATTGGATTTTGCAAAATAGAAAAACTAATCCCAATTTGATGTGGCCTAGAGGGCGGTCCCTAGATAAAGATATGAGATGGGCCTAGAATAGAAGAAGCCCAAATATCCCGAGAAACCTGCGAAAAAGTAGTATTCGGAAAAGACTTTTCGTCGTTAGAACTCCAATGGTTAAGTCACTATGAATCGTGTAGAAATAATACACCAATATTTTCAATTTATGTAACGAGAATAAGGTGTATTTTTCGTACCAGTTATGTCCATTGCTTCTCAATATTGTATTTATACCTGCTTTAGGATTAGGGTGGTGGGACTCCCCTTTGTCTCTAGTTATACTCACACATGGGTGTGATTAGATTACTCTGATATGCATGTCTGCTGAAGCCGTGTTGTCCCGTTCTTTACGAGCTGGGTCAGTTCAAATGGGGACTCAGGGTGGGTTCCCGGATGTTATCATTGCCTTTTAATGTTAAGTGGGTGTTTCGGTCCATGTTGCATTGCAGGCTTTCAGTCTATCCTTAGTCACATCCATCACCTATGGCTACCTTACATGGCCTAGCGGCTGGCTTAGTGGGCTACGGATGAGTGGGTCTATGTTTATTAGTAGGATTTTGTTGTTTAAGGTTTTTGAGGCAATCCAACCCGTATCACATTTATGTTCGTAATTTTTCTTACAGAAATCGGAAACGAAATTTCAAAACTCAAAAAGAAAAAAACACTAGATTCAAAATCGATTTTTTTTTTTTCTGACCGAAACCCACGGGCTTTGAAAATATTATTTTAGTATTCATCTGCAATACAAAATATATAGTAAAATCGATATTATAAATGTAAATTTTGAAATTTTCAGAAATTGATAAATCGCATATTAATTCATAAAATGATTAATTGGGCCTACTAGCACATCTCTCGCTATTTAGCCCAATGTAATAATTTGTGGGCCTGTAATTTAATTGGGCCTAATTCGCCCAATTAAAGATTGTATACAAAATTTTGAACTTTTTCGTCTTTGTACTTCGAATTTCAAATCTCCGCATCTCCATTGCTCCGCCGCAGCGCCGCCAGTTTAGCTCCATCCTCCGTACAAAATGGATCGGGACACCGCACGAACCGCACGGGATTCACTGGACCTGGCGTTTCACATGTCGAACATTCTAGAAACCGGCCTCGATCGCCACACGCTCTCGATTCTCGTCGCACTCTGCGAAATGGGGATAAATCCGGAATCATTGGCCGCCGTGGTGAAGGAGCTCCGCCGCGAATGGCCGCCTTCTTCTTCCGCCGCGGAAACTGTTGCAATTCCTCCGTAATTCGGTAATTTTGATGAATTGTGTTGTAGGGTATGAAATTTGTGTGGAAATTTGTCTGTTATTTCGTGTTAATTGATTAATCTAATACTTTATTACTAATAATTAATTATTAATTATTAAATTGGTTTTCTGACTGTCTTCTTCATTAATTTACCAAACAATTAAGTATTCGTTAAACTAATCACCCTATATTATCATGAATTTAATTTCGATTTGTAAATTTATTTATTTAAAAAAATAAAAAATCTATAGGCTTGTCCTTGACTTTTAAATAATCAGCGTTAAATTGAATGTGGCAAATTGGGCAGCGGTCTTGACCTTTGAATTTTGAGTCTTTGACCAAATTCCCAACACATTTTTTAATTTTTTGACAGATATTTGTGATGTTTGAATAGTTCACGGCAAAACTTTAATTTGACTAATTACATTTTCTCACACTACATAATTAATTACCGAAAAATATAAATTGTGAAAAATGATTTGACAATTGATGCCGTTATATCATAACGTGTCAAATAACGAAATATTTAATTATTCAGTAAAACTGCATCCAACGGAAAAAACAAAATTAATTTAGTAAAAAACCACATTGAAATTAATAATTCGGTTCAGTAAATACTAAATGCTGCAAATTTTCAAAGTATCGAAATTTTCGATTGGTTCGATACGGTAGTAGCGAACGAACACCTACCTCTAGATATATATATATGTTTTAACACATTTGTTCGTGTTAAAAAGTGAAAAACAACTATAGGGTAATTTATATATTTATTTAGGAAACTATAGGGTATTTGACTATTTGTTAATGCAATACAACTAGAGAAGGATGAATATTAAATAAAATATAGAAGATAAGATGTGGGGTGATGAGTCATCCATTTGGCTGTGCTTTTTTTGTAGGACAAGCGTATTTCAATAAGACACGTCCTACATACAATATTCTTTTTCTTTTTTTTTTTTGATTACTTGCAAAATGTTTCATTATTTTGTGGCCAATAGCAATTGACCAAATCCAATTTCATTTTATTAATAAAACTAAATTAGACTTTGTTATAGTTGTGAAATATTCCAAAATTAAATTTCGATTTTATTCTATTTTATTGTAAAAGTTGGTGATGATTGTGGCAAATTATGAAATAAATGATTAATCCTAATTTCTTTTTGACAATTGGTTGAAAAGGATTTAATAAGTTTAAACGAGTTTCAATCGGGCAGACACAAAACGAATTCGCTAAAGTTCATTTTTATTCAAACTCGAGCCACACTAATCATTTATTTTAGCAACCAAATATATAACAAATTGAGCTCAAACAACTTTTAGATTTGATCCGTTAAATCAACAGATTGAGCTCAAAAAACTATTACCGATCAATCTCTTAATAAACACATGTATAATAATAATAATAATTATAATAATTATAATAATAATAATAATAATAATAATAATAATAATAATACCATTTTATGATGAACTATACTAGGCAAATTAATCCACATTAATTCAATTAAGATCCTGTTTGGTTAAGCTTATTTCTTATTTTCAAACATCGTATAAAATTCTACATTGATAAGATGTTTTAGAAGCTATAAACTAAGCCAAACATGCATAATTAACTTGCATAATTAAAATTTTGATTTTTTGAGTCTCCAATCTAACTTGCATAATTAACTTAAACAAAGAAAATTAAAGTTTTCCTACCAAAATAAAAAAAAATAATAAAGTCAAACCATTGCCTTTTAAAATCAAATTATAAACTTACTTTACCAAATTTGATCCTCCTATTTATGCTATTCATTTGGACTTGCCATGATAAATTTACCACAAAATATCATAATTACCCCCCACCAAACTCCACTATCTTTGCAATACACACTAAAATATTCTCATAATGACTTCCATTTATTTCAATATAACAATTATATAAAAATATTTCATAAGATGGGATTAATTAATTGCAGCAAAGTGATGGCAATACACACTTAATTTTGGATAGGCTCAAAGTTAAAATCAATATATTAATGAAAATCAATATTTAATGAAGATTACAAATTTTTGATTGCATGGTAATCAATTTAATGTTCCATTTAATTTAGTAAGTGTTCAAACCTTTCTCATATACACCTATAATTATGAGAAAGAAAAATCTTGAACCACATTCACATTTTTATCATTATAATAATAAAAATTCTTATTTTTTAATTAAAAAAATAAAAATAATCGGTATGAAATAGCACACAACAAAATTTATTCGGTTTTAATATGAATACAGTAAAAAATATTAATATAGCCAAAAGTATATTAAAATTATGGTGGAAAATACAATTAATAATTAATAAAAGAAAAAAAGGAGGGATAAAAACTAAAAAGGGACCACATAATGTGGGTCCCGATGCTTGTAATGGGCATCTTTTGTCGGAATTCCTATTTTAACGTCGCGTGAAGCTGACGCGCTGAGTCACAAAATCGGGTCGCCGAGTATTTCGAAAAGCTCATTTAATAGCGCCCACCCAAACCGGTGACCGCCAACTTGTCTGTACGTAACAGGCGCGTCGCTTTAACAACAAAAAACACACACACACACACACTCATATGAGACGATAACACGTGAATTTCGAGTCTCAATAACATGCCTAAAAAGTCTTGTACACACCCCCTTCTCAACAAACCCAATCCACCCATTTTTCAAATTCCACTATTATTTAAATAAACAACAACAAATTTAATAGAATTGACAAACTAAAAAATATATAAATAGTTGTAATAAAATTCCAATTTAATCATTCTTGCATTAGCCATGAATTCAAGTGTAGATTAATTTGGTTCACTTACTTGATTGTTTGCACAATATTATCTTGTTCATCACTATAACGACACATAAACGATAACATTACAGCCAAGTTACGATATTCAAAAAAATGTCATACATTTTGCGCCGCCATTATACTTTTCGATAATTACTTTATTGATTTCTACTCATTTAACTAGCGGCGCAATTACTTCAGTTTAGATTCTCCCTTATCTTGTCGAGCGACGTTACTCAAAATAATTCGTAAAACGTATTTTATACACTACAAGCTTATTTTAATAAACGTGTTGGCCGCATGCCAAATGTCATCATCGTTCGTTAACATAATTTCATTTTATTTTCAAAAAATCAATACCCAAATAATCTAAAAAATATAGAAATTAAACTATTAAACAATACTCAAGATCACATTCCTTTTTACTATTTTTAGTTCCCAAAAAAAAAAAAAGGATTCAACAAAATCTAAAGATTTCTTGATTGAAAAAAGGGGGAGGGTAAAATAATCAAATCCAACCACTAATAAGCAGCCAACAACAATACAAAATCTTCTTTCTCTCTCCTCACTTTCTCTCTCTACTTTCTCTCTCCTCTTTTTCTCTCTCTACTTTCTCTCTCCTCTTTTTCTCTCTCTACTTTCTCTCTCTGTGGGTAAAAATTAATGCAAAAACCGGGAATGGGATTTTGTTATTAAATAAAGGGTAAAATTCATTTTGCACCCCTGTACTATGATAAATGTATCGTTTACCCCCTGAAGTATTGAAAACATCAAACACCCCCCTGCCGTTAGTTTTTTTCTTCTAATTCCGTTAGTCAAACACTTTGACCGACTATTGCAAAGAAATGTTGGCTTTTTTTTAATGAAAATACCCCAAAAAATTTCTATATATA